GTGGTGGTGGTGGTGGTGGTGGTGGTGGTGGTGGTGGTGGTGGTGGTGGTGGTGGTGGTGGTGGTGGTGGTTCATGCAGAGGGGTTAATGAACCGGCGGCTTCACGTGACTAACGGACACGGCGTGAAAAGAGGGGACGTGTGTTGGAGACTGCGACAACTGGATTATCGGAGGACGTGAACCAGTAGGATGCACTGCAAAGTGGTCCAAATACTTTGATGCCCACGAATGTAAAGAACACAAGATATAGCAAATACAGATCAACCCAGTTGTGGCTAGCACGCCACTGAGCATAAAATTGCGTTTTTAAAATGGGGGAGGTTGTTGACTGAAACAGTTAGGTAAGCCGATACACGTAAAAACGCCCGATTTGCCAGCAAGCTCTGTTGACCAATCACAAGCCGAAAGCGTGAATCAAGTGCCGACCAACTGAGTCCACCATACAAGCTTCGTCACTCATATACTGATTTCTCATGTCCTTGTCTCTGGTTTACTGTGGATTATCCTCGCGGGCTATTCAAACGCACACAGACTGAAAATTGGTTGCTTTTGGCGGGATCCAACATGTATGCGCCCTAGTACAGCATTAATGAAGAATACCCGAGCCCAAGTATTAATAAGACTGGTACAACGGAACAGGCTTTATCAACCAATCACAAGCAAGATCCAGAAGTCAGGCGCCTTCCATCCGAGTCCACCACGCAGGCCACGCCGCTCATTATATACTGTACGTCATTCGTGTCCTTCTCTGGATGGCTGTCTATCTTGCTCGCATGCCATTGGAACGCAGAGAGACACAGGATTGGCTGAGGCCAGGTGGCCCAATATGTCTGCGCCCTGATTTGTCGCCACGGTGACCATTCAAGAGTCAGCCGCTTGAAAGGAGTGTACAGATGCATTTTCCAAGTAGAGGATACAGCTTATGAAAATCAAGAATGACTCTCAATCTAAGCAAGTTTGAGATTAAAATTTATGCAAAAGTGTGAAGTAGGATCTTGTAAACAAGGTGGAAATCATTATTTGAATAACAAAGTGTTATTGGCTACTTTGAGGGCTTATTTTGTTATGAATTTACCCGAATGATGATGCGAATTCCGGAGCGCATCAGTAGTGTTTCTTTCTTGGGTCGACTTAGAGTGTGTCCACCACTGGCGTCTGCGACTACTCTGTCTTAGAGGGGTGAAAGTGTGTCCACTGCCTTTCGATGTTTGTTCTTATGAGACTTCCATTGACATTAGCTGTTGAACTGTGAAAAAGTAATCTAGTGAAACAATTATCTGCTAGTTTGTTGTCTCCAGCGAAGTCGAGTTCGATGTATCACCCATTAATCGTGGCTCATCTTTGCGTCTGGGAATGGCTTCTAACGGCCAACGAGAGGGATGATCAGTAGGATATTGACTGAAGTAGGGGATTTAGGTACCAAGACACATTCCACAAATTTTAAGCCAAGGGACTCGTAACAGTAGTTCATAGTTCCCTCTCCATGCGTTCGAAAGGCTTATTTTAATTTTATGGAATTTCACTGATATCATCTACGGCTGTAAGCAGTGTGATCCTTTGAGGGTATTTGAATGACATAGTAAAATACAAGAGCGCAGCAAATGCCAGGCGGTGACAGGTGCATGGTTCTTGCTTTTAATTGGTCAAAATGGCTTGCTTCTTTGTGCCGTTTTCATACTAGGGCTCCCATTTTGTTCAACGAGAAGTCGTGACTTAGCCTCAGTGTTCATTTAACATGCTCATTTCTCGGATTGTTGTTACAGCAATGAAAATGGAACTAGACTGGTTCTTAACCATGAAATCCGACGTCGAAAATTAGGTTTATCTAAGATCACTAGAGATGGAAATCTAACTTTAATGTTTGGCAAATATCGCTTATTCTGCCAATTATTTAAGTGAGAAAAATCTCGCCGTTAAATGAAAAAAAAACGAATAATAAAGCAACACATGCCACGAACATAGTGACTTCACACGTGCTGTATTGGTGTAGACTGCATCTCATCTCATGCCACTTTGGGAAACTGATTTGGTTGATATTTAGTTATTTCCAAATATTACTACAATGAATGCAGTCTTTACACGTAAGAGGTGTACTCACCATGCTTAAGTTGCTTTATAACCACTTTTAAGTCATATACTGATGCATGCCTACCGTCGTGCACAAATTTCATCGTCCACGAATACCACGAATACTAGCACTTAATTAATTACAATTATTTAGACAAGATGACGCATTTTGCTGCTTTTATTGAACAATGTCCAATTGAAATGACAATAACGTAAAATGCTCACCTAAAACGTTGGTGCTGCCACGAATTTTAAAAAAAAAACTGTAAGTGCATAAAAATATTGGATCTAGCAGAAAATGTCAAACGAGGTAGAGCACACATTTTTGTCTTGTGTTTAAAGGAATCTGTAATCTTGTAAATCCGGTTAAAGTTAAATATTTAACCATGCCTAATGTTTGCTTTTTCGTGTACACTTGTATCACGATGACTGGCTTAGTCAGGATTCATAGTCATCACATGTGATTAATATGTCGCCATTTATCTGCGCGGAAATGTCCCCATTTAAAATCATACCAACCAAAGTCAGGAACATTAGTATTTATAACGAGTACAAGTGAGAGCCATCGTAACTTCTTACACTTGTTAACTTGCACTTGCATTTCAAACTAGATTTCTGCTACTTTTAGACAAAGGAATGGAAATAAAACAACACCAAATCGCTAAATAAATAACCAAATATTGCTTTCTAAACAGCTGTTTTTAGAAGTCTTGCCCTAATTTGTGTTAACTTATACTTTGATATCTGGTGCATGCAGGTTGGAAAAATATATAAGTTAACAAGGAGAAAAATATACCCTGAATTTATTTGATCTCCCAATATCCTAGCTCGTAATTCTTTAATTTTTTTTTATGTATTCTTTTTTACTGTTGTTTTTTATATATTACCTAAGTTTTATTGTTACGGCTTAGGTGTCTAAATATATTGCAAAATGACATAATTTCTTAACCTGTCCCACCCTATGAAATTGGTTGGTTAAGAGCCTTCACATTCGTTGAGCGGTTAATTCAACAACTTATTGCCTAAGGATGGAAGCAGCAATAGGTAGGTGTCGAGTTTAGTTAACGACTTTTAGACAAATGTTGTGACTTAAAGTCACTTGATGATAACTGGGGACTAATTCTTCAAATTAGTGATACATACGCAGTCGGACAGTATGACCTTTATTCACTTTTATGCTATTCAGGCCAAAACAATGTTTAAAGTGTATTTCAAAGAAAATCTTCCAGAACAATCCTCATACATCAATGAAGGCGCTCACGGTTAGCTATAATCTTGTGCCTGTACTCGTCTGTTTTAGCTCCTAGATTCGTGTGTGAAGAACGCGGGGAATACATTCGCTCGAGAACTCTCGTCAAAAGATTTTATTTCAACATTCAAGCAGAAGTACCCTGTAAGTCAAATCTTTATATATTAGAGTATTATTCATAGAAACTTCATCATGTTCCGCAGCAGAAGTTGTTGGGACTTGTCAGGACATGGTCGGAGGAATACGGAAGCAATCCGGAATTCAAGTAAGTCGTTCGATTTTAACCTTCTCACTTTTATTAGTCTCCTCGCGACGCTCTACACATGGGTTCGAAGAGAACATCCATCCCACATCCGCGAGCTAGAAGGCTCTCTCAATGTAACTCTATTCTCAAACTCACATGTGCCTTTTCTATTCTATTATTTCACGGCGCTTTTGTTCTATTGAGGCTGCAAAGCAAACAACCAACAAGGAAAAAGAGAAAAGTCTTCAAGCCAAGGAAGAAGAGGATCTCGCCAAAGGTTCGTGCCTCTTGTGTTACTTTCATCCCTCCTACTTTTCATGCCTTAACTTTTGCACATTTTAAAATTGATATTTTACTTCTCCCAGAGCATCTCGTCGCAGCCATTTCTCTTCCCTATTTCCTATTTTAGTTATTATCTGTATTGTTATGTGAACCTTCGTGTGAAAATATGCTCAATACTGTTTTTGAATTAGCATAAGTATTGCCTCTCATATCTGTGAGGTTGTTGGACGTGAAGTAGGTATACTCGTGAACGCATCGCCATTCAATTTCGGTCATTTCCTCATGCAGCTATCGCGTTATCATTGACCGACACCGGAGGTCGACCTGCAGCATTAAACAACCAGACACCTCAGTCATCGTCCACACCCGCAGGCACAGCAGCATACCCTGCCCTCCCCACTGCTTCCTCCACCATTCCTTCTCGTAACCTTGGCAAAGTCCGGGCTCTGTATGATTTTGAGGCCGCAGAGGACAACGAACTGACCTTCAAGGCTGGCGAAATAATTGTGGTGTTGGATGATTCGGACCCGAACTGGTGGAAGGGCAGCAACCACCGTGGCGAGGGTCTCTTTCCCGTTCAGTTCGTCACAAAAGACGACACAGCCGAGGCCGATGCGAAGGCCTCCCAACAGACGACCAATTCGGTTACCAAGGTGACTAAAGAAGCGGAGGAGGAGAAACCAGCGCGGATCGACCCGCAGTTGCTGGAGAATTGCCTGGAAATGCTCCATGATGCGGACCCGACAGGCGTGTCCCGGCCCGACCCCGAGGAGTTGCCGCAAATGGAGTCTCGCTGTCGTGCCATGGAGCCCCTCATCGACCGGGAGCTCGAAGAGGTCGACACACGCATCAACGACGTGGAGGCACTGAAGCAACGCCTGCTGGACGCCTTCGCGGAGTACCATGATATCGTGGCGCGGTCACCACCGGCTCCGGCCTTTTCAGCGGCGTCGATGTTCCCTGGAGGCCAGCAACAACAACAGCAACCTGTTTTTAATCCGGCGGTTCCTGCATCGTACCAGGTATTTACCAGTCTCATTTCTTGTGGTTTTTGTACGTAATTTAGTGTAAACGATGATCGGTGCTTTGAAACCAATGTAGGCCGACCACTATAACAGACTGACGGGATGGCATTTGTTGTTTGTGGCGTGATTCTCACACCTTGGTGACTGGTTGACGTTGCCGAGTCTGGCACACTGCAAACCGCGTATTAGTGAGACTTGCGTAGCCATGGCGTAACCTTATCCTGGCGGTGTTGAGACCTGTTTTTGCAGTAAGAACTAGCTGCTCGTGGAGGTACTAATGCTTACTTGTTTATTCCGTCTGCTGCATTTCTTCGTCTTTATGTTGGCCCTACATTTTCTGTGTTTATAGCAGCGAGTGCACTAAACATGGGTTTTCGTTGGAAATTAGTTATCACCGACGTAGCTGTAGGGACTACATAATGTAAGGTTACTTCGCGTGAATTCATGGTCTTGATCTCTTGTTTGCATTGTGTTTCTCATGTCGTAAACAAGCTATCGACAGGGTATAGCCACACGATATTTTACCATTCTAATTGCCACTGTGCAAGGGTAACTCCGACTACAGACTACTCGCTTGTTACGTGGCATTAGGCGAAGTGAGTAAACGACTGTAAAATGCACTTAAAAACGTCGCTTTGGTGGTTTTTTTGGCGTCTTATTTGTGGTTCTCTGTCAGAGTCGTGGTGTGTTGAGGAAGTAGTCAATGTGCACAAGGCAATACACCGCTCTCCTATCAAGTACCCTCGCGTGATTTTCCATGACAACAAAGCATGCCTTCTCGCCTAGCCAATAGGCGTTCTTTCTCAATAGAGCTGATTAGGCCTTTTCAATTGTGCCTCAAAGTATTGTGCTCGGCAGGTCCGCGCAGCGTTGATCGGCTGTGTCGTAGTAACCAATTTTACTTGCAAGGTCATCCTAAAGGAGCCTGAACTGTGGGCACGCGTGTTTGTGATGTTCAAATGGCTGAGTTTGCCAGCACAGAGGGTGAGAGAATGCGTAACTGCGTGAGTGTTGGTCTTAAAGTACTTTAAAGTGCGTGGGTTTTGATAAAATTGGTTGTTTTTTTTTGTTTTAGTGACGATACATTAAGCTTTCCGAATGCGTAGATGGTAAATTGTGTGATTTACCTGTCGATCGGAATCGATGCACAGCACTCAACCCATGTTGTGTGCTTCTGGGTTAGGTTGGGATAATTTGACCGCGATTTTTGAAGGACCCTTTTCAAATTTGGGTGCTGATTGCTTACTGCCAATAGTGGCCGTCGTTGTGTGTGTTACTAAGACAGTTCTGAGCGTTGAATCTTAAAGGTTAGCTGCGATATTGTGTACTGCAGACTTGGTTGAGTATTAACTGGGCGAAATGTAACGCCATCTACGATGACTATGCGACCGGTCACAATTCGCCCTTTTTGATGCCTCTAGTACATGTACGGGAAGCCAGGAGAGCCCTACGCGCAGCAGTATTCGATACCACCGCCTCCACAAGGTCCTCAACCAATGTACATGCCTGCTCAACCCATGGCCAACCTTGATCCGTCTTGCCAGCCCCCTGGTTCGTGCTACTTATACCATTTAAGTAGTTTATCATGATGAATAACCTTAGGTCACTCCTGGTGGCATTATTAAGGCTTGTGCTATGCAAACTCACAAGCACCGCTATTCAAGAGTAAATGCTAAGCGTTAATTAAACCAAAGGTGTGGTTTTTGAGACCACACAGGTTAGTGAGCTCGCATACAGCTCACACACACACACACGCAAGTTGGGTGGTCGCAGAAGCACCTGACCCAAGCGGTTGCAGCTTCATTTTCTCATAATTTTTCCGCCGAAGTTGTGTGTTAGAGTATGGACAGGGGTTTGACCAAATGCGGTGTCCTCGACACCGTCAAGCATCCGCCCAAATAACGCAACCGTCTTGATCATTTTTGCGCAGTTCACGCGCCCGGTGCGCCGATGGTTGCGTACGGCGTTGGCGCCTACATTCCACCTCAGCCGCCCAGCGGTTACCATGGCCAACCTGTTGCGCCCGTGTATGGCCAGCCCCAAGGTCCGCTGCACGCCTACGTTCCTCAACCGGTCTACGCCTACGCGCCGAACGACGATGCTGTTGCGGTGGAGCCCTCACATTGGCCACAAACCCAGCAGCACGCCGATCCTGGTGCCTATACGTGAGTTTTAAGCAACTCAATGTGGTGTTGGTGGTGCCTGGAATAAGTCACTACTTATAAGTTGTTAGTAGGTGTATTTATTACCAATCGATTTGCATATCGTAAAATCCGTTGTTTGTTTTGTGCGCCTTTTTAGGGAACAGCCTCCGGAGGAAGTTGATCGTAGCGAGTCTGGGTGCGCCCGTTAATGCCTCGCTTCATCAGCTACTTAACCGCTGTTGCAAAATATTAACTACTTAGAACACTTAAGTAGCATGTGCTACTTGGTGGTAAATGGTGCTCTCTTTGCGTCTTTTTAGAACGCCTCAGACGAACCCACCTGCGTCTCAGCCGCCGCCATCTGCTCAGACGTACATCAACTAAGGTGCAGCAGGCGACGCTTTGGCTGGCTGAGTAGAGTTATCCAGTGATTTCTCCATTTTCATAAACAACTGTGCACCCCCCCCCCATATATATTTATTTGTCGAAGTGATTTGATTTCTTAGACGTCTGCTCTCGTGTTGTCGCCTGACAGCAGCCATATCAAAAGTTGTTGTCTGAATTCGACTTTGCTTCCTTTGTCTTCTCATTGAGCTTTTATTGTTTTTACACGTGAATCTGGAATGCACTCATGGCAAGTAGTGTGCTCTCGTTGTGGGCGTACTTGCACCAGGTTGATCACACGACAAGTGTCGGTTGTTAGCGCATGTGGGTGTGATTTACAGGTGCTTTGTGTGTTTATGGTCGCAGTGGGTCAATGAGTAGGTGGCTCCTTCATTGTCGTATTTACGATTTGCTACATGGTTTTTGAGTAGATTGTTGAGACGAAATTAACACTTTTGTAACTGGCCTGGTGCGAAGGAAATGTCCGCGTGCAAGATTTTGTTTTAAATGTAACTATCAATTCGTAAAAATGATCTCTGGTGAGTTTGATGTGCGGTAAGTGGACGTATATTAATAGACTGTAATTTGCATTGTCGGTTGAGCTGCGGTGGATTGTGCGTCATCCGCAACATAATTGGTGGCGTAAAGTTGGTATATGTCTAATTTACTAATATAAAAGCTTCTCACAAATTGACAGAATCGTTTGATAGCGCTTTTGAAGTATTACTAATGCGGTAAATTATGGGTGTTCCTCTGTAATTGGCTGGGCAACTAGGCGCAATGCCGCGGCTTCATTCAGCTCCCATGAATGGTACTTTTCAATGACCAAGTCCTAATTCATCGTCGTGGGACTCGTTAATGCCAAAAGCGCCATCTTCATTATTTACGGTGTAGCGTCGCCAACAGTAGCCGCTTCTGGTGTTTTGTCTTTCCTCGTTTGCTCCTGATTAGCTTCAAGAAATAGAAATGAGCACTCTTGTGGTGATTGGTTATTCGAATCGTACTTCTCATGTGATGACACCTCGATGATGCACAGTTCGTTCTAAATCATTGGCTAATCGCCAGGATTTCGACATTTGCCATCATATATTTATCCGGACGCAGAAGTAATTTAAAAATTTAAAGGAGAAAGAATTATGCAATCGTGTATAATTGTGTAAGAAGTTTATTGTGCATTTTGCATATATAGCGAAGCCTTAGATGGTGCAGTGTTGTGTGGCGTCGGATTAGGGCGCAGACATGTTGGACCACCTGGCCTCAGCCAATCCCGTGTCTCTCCGCGATCCAGTGGCATGCGAGGAAGGTAGGCAGCCAACCAGAGAAGGACGTGGAGGAGATGCAGTATATAATGAGCGGCGTGGCAAGCGCGGTGGACTCGGATGGAAGGCGCCTGACGCGTAGCTCTGGCTTTTGATTGGTCAATTAAGCCTTTTCTGTTGTACCGGTCTTTTAGCTATTAGGGCTCGGGTATTCTACAGTTGCGACGTCTGAGGGCGCACACATATTGGACCACCTGGCCGCAGCCAATCCTGTGTCTTTCTGCGTTCTAATGGCATGGGAGGAAGATAAGCAGCCAACCAGAGAAGGACAGAAATGAGGTGCAGTATATAATGAGCGGCGTGGCCTGCGTGGTGGACTCGGATGGAAGGCGCCTGACGTGTGGCTCTGGCTTTTGATTGGTCAATAAAGTCTGTTCTGTTTTACCAGTCTTCTTTCTATTAGGGCTCGGGTATTCTGCATTGTTGGCAGCGGATGCGTTCGAATAACGCGAATCGGACACCAGCCCTTTCTCTTCTATGGTCAACAGAGGCAAAGACCCTTAAATGCCAGCTGAACTTGTCATGGCGGTCATCCGATGTCCAATAAACTGGATCCATAGACATTGCCCGGGATTCGAACTACTCCATCTGAAGAGGCACTGGCAACTCAGCGACGACGACTCGGACAGTGAAAGCCAGCTGGACTGCAAATGCGAAGGGACCTACGATGGATGATGAGTCCTTCCTGCAAGTCTACAAGAGCAAAGTCCCTCTTCAACTAATCGCATGGGCCACTATCCTGCCAGATGTGGGGTGCGGAGAGTGTCGAAATGGATATTTTAACAATCATGAACAGTGCGAAGAACCAAGCCAAAAGCTGAGGGCAGCTTCGGTCTTAGGGGGGGGGCAGTGTAGCGGAATGACAGACGGTGGCCATATTGGTGACGGTGTTGAGCACGGCGTGGAGGCGGCATCACGTGACCGGTGGTGCGATTTCCGGCTGCGTGGTGGCGTGCGGGCATTGAATGACGCGCCGGGGGCTGAGAGCCAATCCGCTCACGACTTTTCCGTCTCCATTGTAGCGACGCGCAACGGACCAACTGGAGAACAGGATGAACAGGACAATGACATATAAAGCCCCTGTTTTCCCCGTACGGACTGACTTGATTGTGGTTGTCTCGGCCTTTATTAAAGTGCTCCTTTTTGCCTATCTCTCTCTTATTCACCATACCATGGGTCGGAAAC